TGTTGTAGCACTTCAGTGAAGATGCTACCCACACCAATGGGAGGGCTTCTCCTGTCAACACAGGTAATGACCTTCTCTGAGAGGCAGTAGCTATGAAGCCCTCCCATCAACATAGCGCTATCTACACCAGGAGTTAAGTCAGTATATCTGTGTCACTCAGGGGCATAGGTGATGCGTAAAGGGGGAATCTGGGGTGTGTGTGTCAAGTGCCCCCCCAGATTTCTGCTTGGCCTGCTGGGGGGAGGGAGAGGGACTCTGTCCTTCTCCTGCTGTGCTTGCCTCCCGGCATGCTCGGCCCCTGTCCCAGGCAGGGAGCGGAAGGGGTGGGACTAGCCACTTCTCATGCCGCCGCTCTGGGTCACTGCTCTGTGCAGCACGGTGGCTGCCTGAGAGAGAGCCCAGCTGAGGAGGTGGCGGAGAGCCACCTCCCAGCCTAAGCCCGGCTGCCAGAGACAAGGGCCGAGTGAGCCAGAGCACCCACTCCCCTGGCATGTTTCTGGCTCGCTCAACCCCTGTCTCCAACAGCCAGTCCTGAGTCGGGGACAGCCCATAGCTGCCGCCACCTCCCCAGCCAGGCTGTCTCTCAGGCTGCTGGTGTGCTGCACAGAGCAGTGAGCCGGAGTGGCCAGCTTCAGCTGTGTGACAAGTGGCTCCGTGCCACTCCACACCTGGGCTCAGTTGCCAGGGAGAGCGGCTGAACATTCTGGGCGAGAGGCATAGCAGGAGAAGGATAGAGGCCCCTCACTCCCCGCAGGTAACTCTTGGGGTAGGGAAAGCACGGTGGCCCCAGGCTGGGCACAGGCCAAGGAGGGGTCACACATATGGGGAGGCATGAGTGGTCTGTGCTAAGGAGTGTGGATTTTCCACGTCCCTGAGTGATGTAGTTATACCAACATAAGTTACTAGTGTAGACCAAGCCTCATCATACAGTTCAAAGTGCAGGAAGGCAAAATTAGAGGAACACTAATACAGCAGCACAGGTGCATTCTGAGTTAGGGAGCTGAGCCCAGAAAAAAGATAGCAAAGCAGGAATGAGAACTGCAGAATAGCTCTGACCTACAGTTTTTTTCTTTATTCCAAAATTTATTTCTTTTATTTTCTAAACTGTCCTCTCTGTATCTGTGTGATTTTAGAGGAACAGTAAGGAATTAGTTTTGTTAATTCTGGAGAAAGTCTAGCATTCTCTTTTTAGGAGTGAGTGGAAAATGTGCTTAACTTGAGTGCTGGTTTAATAATCTCTTACATTTGGTTTCTAAGTGAAAAACACAACAGTAAAATGTACTGTATGCTGTTCAGATTCTCTAAAATCCTTATTAAAGCTCTCTAAAGTTCAGAGCCTTTTGGCATTCAACGGAAAGTAACAAGTGTGTTTTGTAAATGTGTATGGCAAACGTGTATTGCATTTTCTTATCCAATTTATTAAAATTCTTAAGCTTGATAGTTCAGTGGGTGGGTTTTAAAAGTCTTAATTCAGTTCACTTGGTCTGTCTTCATGATCATTTCATGTATTGTATTATCAAACATCTCCTGATTTCAACTATATACTGCACTGTGTAACTGAGACTAACAGTAGAATGGACAAATATATGTTCTCTGATGCACATATAAAGCTTCTACTGAAATCTGTGGGAGTTGCCACCATTTTGTTAGAGGGGACATTATACAAGGCCCTGCTATCTAAAGCTGGTTCACCTGTGTGGGGGACAACAGGAACTGAAAAAAGCCCAAGTTTGAATCTCTTCCTGATAGCCCCAAACTACTCTCCACTTCTATAATCATATTTGTGTGATCAGCCTGTATAATCACAATACAAAAATAGTTTAAATCTCATTCGGTCAAATTCTTCCGTGATGTAGTTCTACTGACTTTACTGAGCTTGCAGTAGGGATGAATTTGACCCATTAAATGCAGTAAGTACAGTGGTTTTAGAAAGCAAATTAAGTTCAACATTCCCATAGTGGAAAGGGTTAGGGTTTGGTCCGTTTCATCTTCAAAACCCTCTGTCAACACTCTATACCAATAGCTGAGTCCAAATTCCAGTTCAGCTGATTCAATTACTGGAGTTGTTCTCACTCACAGAGAGGAGAATAATCCCTGATGAAAATGTGTTGTGTGCGTTTGAGTTTGTCTTTTCCCTTTTCTCTCTGCTCTGAATCAGTTCCTTTTCCCTTGCTTTGTTCTGTGGAATTGTGTTTATTATAATTGTTCTATACCTCTCTCTCCTTTAACTCTCAGAACTCCCCTGCCACCATCATTAAGCAGTGCCCTACACTTGCACAGTCAGTGAAAGAGTTAGGGTGAAGTGCTGACCCCAGTGAAGTCATTGGGAGTTTTGCTATTAGCTTCAATTCAGCCAGGATTTCGCCCACCTCTGCTGTAGCAGGAGAGGATGAATCAGGTTAACCATAACTGCAGTGGTCTAATGCTACTAGAAGCTTTATCCCAATTGCTTGTCTTTTGGTCTGGACTATGCATTTTTTTCATAACCCATTTTGCTATACTGGAAATAAACCACGCTTCAGATTTTTCACACTATGAGTTTGTTTTTTAATATTCTTGCATGACTTTGGTTCTTGGTATATTATTTTAACACTTCTTTTCTTTCCACAGACTAAATCTCTAACATATCCCCCTCCTTTTTTCAGCCTGGCTACTTGATATATTACATTCCAGTGAACTCATGACTTGGTCATCTATAGAGCTAGTGTTTGGTTTGTCATCACACTAGACAGGTGAACTGATGCAGCTTCACATTTCCTGGGGGTTCGGTTTTAAGCCAGTATCTTCCATTCTGAGCACTATGACATCCTTATTAAAGGCAGACAAACTTGTTCTGTTTGATTTCTGACATTGTGGCTTTTGAAAGTTTCCCTTGGACTCATACACTTTTGGGTTTAGGAAATATTGTGAGAAGGAGGAAAAGGAGAGACAACACAAATACAATGAGCCAGACCCACAGCTGTAAATTAGAGTAGTTCATATGACTTCAGTGGCGCTTCACTGAGTTGCACCTGTTAAGGGTCTATCTTAGTATATTTATATATAACATACATGCACAGCAGTGACTAATACTAGCCCACCTTATGGAGAGAAGGGAATGGCTCTTCTATCCCTACATGCTACCCACCTTCCCTTTAGCAAAATAAAAAACAGAACCAACAACAACCAACACACACACACACCACTTCCTAGAGGGGAAACCTCCTTCACTAGCACACTTCCCCCTCAGAAAATGAAAATTCAGCAGCTGCTATCAGGGATTTCTGTTGTCCTAAGGGATGCAGTCAGAGCTGACTCACTGTGGCTATAAGAGGAATCGTACTTTATCTTTCTGCCAAGTACCTTTGAAAGCAAACGGCTTCTTAATTAGTATTGTATTATTAAATAACATATATCCAGATTACAAACAGTCAAATAGTATATAATCAATGGTAATAAGTATCATATTCAGAAATACTCAGTGAAACTTTTTTAATACCATAAGCAAAGTAGAAAAATGACTTGGCCTAACAAATTAGTAGATTTAAAATTTACATTGCATCTTTTCTTACTCTCAGGTGCCAGAATAAGCATCCCTATTCAAGATGACATTTAAGCATATACTGTACTTAGTACAGTACTTAGTAGGAATGGATGTAAGCCTATTCTTAAGTGCTTTCCTGAATCAGGTCCTAAAAGATTTTAATAAGTTGAAAAATTATGTTCAAAATTATAAGATGGATGATTAAAGTCTTAAGGTCCCAGTCCTTCTAACAGTTATGCACATACTTAACTATACTCATATAAATAGTCTCATTGACTGTGCTGAAACTAGTCTGAAGCTTATAGTTAAGTATATGTATAAGTGTTTGCAGGACCAAGGCCTAATTCTGTACCATTGAAATCTGTGGGTGTCTTGCCATTGACTTCAATAGGAATCCTTCATTTGACTTAAATAGATGTTAGACTGGGGCCGTAGTGTCTTGTCCTTCAGCTCCTTTGTGACTCATATTAAAGTAAATGGGAGTCTTATATGTATTACAAGTTCAAAATGGGACCTCATAAAGGCACTTGCCAGCTCACCCCTCCAAGTGGCCCTCCAAGTGACTCTGTGCTTCCTGCTATCTCTTTCCCCAGCACTAGGACCATGGAGTGGAAAGCAGGGCTGGAGTTGAATGCCCCAGATGCCTTCCCTTCCTTCGTTGTCCCCCAACATGAACTTGATACTTTTGGGGGAAGGAGGAGAGTAAAGGCTTGGTAGGGAGGGGAGAAGAGGAATCTGACAAGAGTCTCTGTTGCATGTAGCCTCACTGTGTTGCTCAGCTCCAGTTGAGCTCCACGCTGTGGAGGCACAATCCTAGGCTTTGGCCCTTAGGGCCTATCTGGGCAGGATGAATTGCCTCTTACGCATTTTTAAGTGAGCCCAGACATGTAATGCAGCTCATCTCGTAGGAGTCCCTGTTAGCCATTGAAAAACAACAGCTTCACATTGAGCACATACTGGTAGTGCACATCTTCTCTAAGACTGGTTACCACTTCAGAACATTGGATACCCAGGGACAAACCAACTCTGACTATGATTGTCTTCACAAACTGGAGTTGGCACACAAGTATGTTCTACTGGGATACTAAAGGGTTATTTTTTAAACAGGGCCATTATTGAAGCCAAAGCTATACATGAGAAGATATATTGTTCATACACGGAGCGGTTGATTTGTACTTTGTCGCTAAGCCTCCATTTTACGAAATAGCCTACAATTAACAAAGAGAAAGCTTGTAAAAAAATCACACATCTGGGTTCCAGCACATTTTTTATCTAATTCTTAAAAAGAAAAAAAAATTGATTCTAGGATATTTCTCACAACAACAATAGTCATAAACATTTAGAACATAACTCTAAAAAGCTTTTGATAACCAAACATCTGTCCTCACACTGCCTTCTTTTGCTGCTATTCTTCCTTCTTCCCTCACCACTGGTACTTGCACTTGCTTTATTCATACTGTATCCCCTCCTTTCACAGTGGCAAGGAAAATGTTGCTGCAGCAGCTGAAAACAGGTAACGTTTGCCTTGTATTCTTTTTCCCTCAGACTTTCCACACAAAGTTTTTACCTAAAAATACATCAGATGTATGCACTCTTTGAACAGATGAATTATAATGGTGTTTCAGCTGAGATGATTTGCTAGAGATGTTCATTTTCATTCAGATATTTGAAAGATTCCTGGCCAGGTGACAGACTGTATAGGAATTGTGCAAAATATACCACATTACCTTTAATTCTAGAAAACAGAAAAATAAGCAGCATTTAATCAATGTTTTTGAAGTTCAATATTGTCGTTGTTCAGCAGAGGCGAACAGTCCAGAAGTTCAAGAACCATTTCCATTTTTAATCAGATTCCAATGTTGTGGTCTGAGCTGCTCCATGGGTTTTTTAAATCTAAGTTAGTTGAACTTCTTGACATTTTAAAAGCAATTCTAAATCTGATTCTTGAGTTGTATTGATCATGGATTAAAAAGATACTAATCCTTCCTATATATAGTATTTCTTTGCATTTATATAGTGCTTTTCCTCCCAAAAGATCCTAATGCACTTACAAAATTCATAAACCATCTACATGTATATCTATATTATATACATTTATGTAGATGTAGATAAAAATAATTTCAGCACCAAACACTGAAATGCAGCTACTTCTAGGATGAAGCACTGCCATTATTTATCAGAGCATAGCAACTCTTTATAAGTTCAGAGCATAGAAATAAAGATTTAAGACAGTGCCTTCCTCTGATATCTTGATTACTCCACATGCAACAAGGCTTTATGTCTGCTTTTAAAATAACCCGTATTTGAACAAGTATTGCAGAGAATTAAAATCAGAGTAAGTGCGAGGATTGTCACCACTAACAACATGACCAATCGTGACTGGGATTCCCAGTAAGGGGGGAAAAAACAGCAGTTTACTGGGTCATACCAATAAGATGGAACAGAGGGGAAGGGAGTTGATATATGAAATAATTAGCAACCACATCTACATTAAATAACAGAAGCAGGGAATGAAGGGTAGTATCTATCACTATTGCTTGTGTAGGACTGACCACAAGATTACATGGTTGCTTCATTGAAACTTAACTGCAAATCTCTCTTTGTTGGACTATCTTGAACAATTTCAGACATTTGTCTGGTTTTGGGGTCACACTATACCTACTGAGTCATTTACGTTTGGTTGTGTTGTAACATGTCTTCACCTCTATTGTCTCCAGTGTCTAATTTCTGCTAGGTCTTATTTTGATACTGTGATGTCAATAATGTTGTCTCCAGTTTTAGCTGAAGGCTAAAGAAGACTGTAATGAACCTCTAGATCTCTATCCTGGTTCTCATAATGACTCCTGGTCATAGTCTTTAATAAGGCATTGAAGATTGGTATGATTTCACATGTGACTCTGCAATGATATCAAAAGAGACTTAGGGGATAAAATAAGAGGACATTAGAGATTTGCTGATGTAAATCTCTTCCCAAATAAGATGTCAGTCACAAAACTGAAGCCTTCTTCATCAAACAAAAAGCTAACCTGGCTTTTTTTAATGTTGAGGTTCAGCAGTTTCTCACTCTTTTTCCTTAAGGCCTTTCCCAGTGCATTGAAATACTAAGTCCTACGTCAGAGGGGTAGACATGAGTGTTCTGATATGATGTCCCGTTTGTTAGATTACATGGTAAGCATTTGGATCTCAAAAAACTTAGTGGAACAAATAAAACACTTCTCACTTAAAGGCACTGGCTGCCTTTTTGGCTGGTACTCTTCTTCGCTCTGAAAGACCTAATCATTTAAGCAACTGGTAATGTGGTTAAAAATATATCTCATGCACATACACCCTTCTAATCTTTGTTACCCAGCCCTACAGGTTCTCATCATGTGGCACAGTATGTGACCTCAAGTGTTTGGCATCCTCCTAAGTCACGCACCATGGATGCCAACATTGACAAAGCTAAGCCAGTGGCCTCCAAGGGTTCCGTGAGGTTTGGAACGGGTACAAGTCAAAGGGAAGCCAGTTACATCAGGACTGGCCAGAAAGCCCCTCTTACTTCATCCAATAATCAAAGGTACACTGCAACATGTAACTCCATAACTGACCTGGCTTGTGGCTTTGGTATGGTTTTGTAATAACATTCTCTAACTCTTTCACATGAAAAATCCCATTGCCTAAAAGGCAAATATCTAAGTACTATAAATTTCACCAGCTTTTAGTTCATATGTTTCCCATTGTAAGTGACTTTCTTAATGGCTTCCTCTACCACCAGGCAGGTGACAGCCACATAGGAACCATCTCCACAGAAACAGCAGCCCAGTCTATTGAATGGATGCTGTTGGCATCTGGAATAGAGCTCTTCTTTCTACTAATGCAAGTCCAAAACACATCCATGTTGTGTTCTGCTCTAACTGCCATCTCCAGCACTTCCATCATTAATATATGCTACGGTAGAAGAGATTAGTTCTTTGACTGCTCATTTTGATTTATCTTCCCTACAATTTCAATCCTTTACCCTACCAGAGATTTCTTTGGAGCACCTGAAACAAAAACAACTTTGTGCACTCTTAAAAGAGACTAATTACTGCTTTAATAACCTGCTCTTTAGTTACTATTGCAAGACTCTTAGACCTGGAATTTCATAGGGCTAGGACTCTTCTCAGGTAAAGGAGTGTAATCTGTACTTATTTTTAAGTGTTTGTGTGTGTTTGTGTATGTGTTTTAAATATGGTTGTTAATCATTATCATCTGCTTAACCTCTGCTGAACTGTGTTCCTTCTCATGAGTGAACATCAAAATGGTAACAGAATATACGTACGTGTGTGTGTATATTCATCCACATAACTTTACCATGCTGAATATTTAATTTTATACTTTATTAAGAAATTATTGAGCTATTTAAGAACTTACATTTCCTTTGATTATCCCCTTAAAATTTAAAATACTGTAAAGACTGATGGAATAGGGTGGTTGGTTAAAAGTAAACTGGAGAAAAACCAGTAAGAAAACAACAGTAACCACTTTACTCATAAAATTATTATTCATGCTCTGATATACGGTAGCAGTTTCATTTTATAAACCATGACTTCATCCTTAGTCAATCAGCAGACATCTGAAGAACTGCTAGGAACCTCCTGGCTCTGCCACTGATTCTCATGGTGGTTTTTGGTTACTCTGAATTCTGCCCCAAGTTACACCCATTCAGTGGGATGAATATATTAACTGAGGGCAGAATTCCCTTTAGATTTGTTTCCCCATTTCTAAAAAGAAGAGTTCTAAGAGTTAATGTTCATAAAGAGCTTTCAAGCTGCAGACATTGTATATGTCCTAAGTATTATTATTTCTACCCAAAAAAGAGAGAGACACTTGCTAAATCGCCACATATTTCTACATCTTGCTCTTTAGTGTGTATGGAATGTGCCTCCTGCAGATACAAAAGGTGAAATCCTGGCTCTGGTGAAGTCAATGGCAAACCACCCATTGCCTTTAGTAGGGACAGTATTTCCAGTCTAAGGTTTTATAGGGGTTAATACAAAAACTGATTGTTCAACAGAACTAAAAGCATTCATAAAACAGGGAACAACCCATTTCTGCTGTCATTACACTGTGGTAAATCTGGAGTAATTCCAGTAAAGACAGTGAAGTTACTCTGGATTCTACTGGTAAAAGTAAACAAAGTATTAGGTCCAAAGTGCAGAAGTTAAAGGTAGCAAGATCACATTGCTAATTTAGCTATTTATATATGTTTTGTGTAACTATTTTCTTATTCTCTGGAATAATGAATGCACATCCTAGTGATCTGCAGTTGCAGGAGAAGGATTCAGGCCTCTGTGACTTTTAGATTTCTAGTGCCTAAGTAAAGAAACCTTAAAAACATGTAACATTATTGTTTGATGTCCTTATAATGTATTCTAATGTGCTTGCGTTCAGTTTTATTATATCTACTATAACATGCCCATCCGCCTCAAACCTGCCCCCACACAGGTACATGTCCACATAAGTTCTTAGTGTTCCTTTGTTTGATTAATTATTGGGGATGTGTTTCAGCTCACATTTAAAAGATCCACTACAAAAATTGAATAACCATACCATAGGCTTATTACCCATGGAGTGAAACCCTGACCCCAGTGAAGCCTGTGGCAAAATTCCCATTGACAGTAGTGGGAACAGGATTTCACCCATGGTTTTTGTCTTGCTCGTTTGTGTTTCCTCTTAAGAAAAAACATACAGTAAATCCCATTTTGTTTGAGGCATGATTTCAGTCCATGCAAATTTGCCAGACCTAAGACATAACAGTAAAATGTAGAGTATCTCCACGTTGGTGTGATATCCATTCCAAAAAGAGGAAATGCAGCTACCACACTGCTTGCAGAGACAGTCAAATACATTGTGTTTTCTTTTATCTGTAAACATGGTATTGCATTCATAGCTCTGAAGCCAGGGCATTGTACAACTACAGTGCTATATGCTTTAAATAATACATAATATATTTGGATAGTGGCTGAGGCAAATGAATCCACAGCATATGACATCAAGATCAATGGGGATTAGATCTGAGTTTTGCATATGTGTATGAAGGTTGGAAAATTTCTGTGGAAGAATTTGAAAGCCTAAATTGTAGATGTGGTGGATATTTTCACTAGTTTATTCATTCTGTAGCTAATAGTAGATACAATATAGAAAGAGAAAGAGATGGGGATTTTTTTGTAAATATAAAATTGTTCCCTTTCCCTGTTTCTTTCTTTTGAATTTTGTTTGTTTCCTTTTCAAATGGGATAGTTCCAAATGACTCAGGTGTGTTTATTTCATTTGCTGACAGCTGGCTAGTAAATTCACTATTTGCCTTCTGTTTTTCACATGTGTCATTAAAACATTTCAGCACAGGACTTGGAGAGTTCCTCCTGAATGTAGCATGTGCTATTCATGCTGGGTAGGGGCTATGGTCTCATCGATAGGCAATGGCCTAGGACTCAGGAGCTGTAGGTTCAATTCCCCAGATGAGCCACAAACTTCCTGTGTAGCCTTGTGCACATCAGTTAATCTACACTGTACTTCAATTTCCCATCTGTAAAATAGGATAACACTTCCTCACCTCACAGAATTGTTGTGAGGATAAAATCCATTAACAATTGCGAGGTGTTCAGATATCATGGTGCTGAGGGACATAGAAGTACCTAAATAAGGTGTTACAATCAATATTTTGTACTCAAGAAGACTAGATGTAGTTTTGGTTTCAATAAGCCTGTTTTGTCATCAGATAAGGGCAGATACGTTGCTCTGGTCTGCTCCTGCTCCACTTGTGTGACAAAGGGAGCAGAAACTAACTTCATCTCCCAAGCAGGCTTAGGACTGGTATAGCAAACTCATATGCTGCCCCGTCCCTTCTTTCAGCCCTGATGTTGGGGGTGGTGAGGGGCATGTCAGGGCCATGGCTTGCTACTCAGACTTTTGGTGGGCTGAAGAAAGTGCTGAGCAGAGAATGACTGAGCCATAATTAGCTCCCTAGCACTGCACCACCCCGCACATTGCACTGAGGAGATTACACCCCGATGGTGTCTGCTCAGTAACATCCAGAACAGCAGTAACTTGTAGCAATTCTGTTTATTCAGGCCTATGACGATATCGTACAACTGGTTTCCTTTCATCAATGTAATTTTTTTAATGCTTCCACCTAATGTAATCTCTGATCCGGAAGTTAACATTATGCATAAGTGAGTGAAATTTACCCTAGCACTGACGGGTTCTTGCAGGCCTCTACACAACCACCTAGGTCTCATGTGCTGGGAGTTTTTTTGCCATTAACTTCAGTGGGACCAGGATTGGGCAGTAAGACCTTATGTGCTGTGTGGGATGAATTTCACCCAAATGAGAACATTATTGAACTCAGCATTAAACCTAATTTTAGTCCTAACTCAGCTACAGAAAAAAGCTTAACAAATGTGCTTTTGACCTTCCATATCTGTGCTTTTCCCCCCAATAATACAGCTTGCCACTTTGCAACTTTTGGGGCCAAACACAGTGGGTTGTGTGCCTTTACACAGTAAACGTACACTTTTTAAGATGCTTCTTGTTTTATTTAATTTAACTCTAATTAGTACCCCTGTTGAGCATGCGCCAGTGTCTACCAGCTCTGCCTCTGCTCCTGTGCCAGTTGCTTCAGCCAATCAGTCTGCTACTGCTACTCAAAACACATCCAGTCAGATGACACCACCATCAGCCACTCCCATCTCTGTAGTACAAGATTCCTTCTCTTCCTCTTTCCAAAGGTAATGCTTTTTTGCATTGTCTTTTTGCAAATGTCTCCCTGTGTGGTGTTTAGAAGTGCTGTGACTGTGTGTGTGTGTGTGTGTACATGGGAGTGGGGGGCGGAACTTTATTCAAGTTTGCAGAATATTGGGGAAATATGTTGCCTAGTTTTATGTGTTCTGAAGTTGTTTATTGTTGGAGTGTTGAATTTTTGTTTGCAAGGAAATTGCAAGATGCAAACTGATCTCAGACAAAATTAATCAAATATCTTTGTAAGTGAGGAGTATAACTTACATTTTCAAAAAAGAAAATCTGATGTTAAAAATAAAACTGTTTTGTCACCAGTAGTGAGGACACCAAAGTTTCATAATAATTAAAATAGCCAGTGAAAATCCTTTACATTGCATTAAAGCAGTGTTAAAATTATCAAGAAATAAACAGGTTAATAAATTAGGCAAGCTAATATAAAGATCCATCTGGATTTGAATATACCTAAACAAAGACAGCGCCCTTTAGAAGTTCAAAGAAGAAAATGCAAAATGCAGTTTGACGCTTTGAGTGATAACACACTATGTACAGTAGGATCTTTGATATTTACTGTAGTGTTACAGACCTCACTATTATGGGATGTGCCATGTACGGGATGTCAGTAGATCCATTCATTTGGGGGTTGACTTCTCTATAAAGGCACTAAGTTGATTTATTTCTATTTAACTGTGTTTTTTTTTCTAATAAGATTTAACTATACAATTAATACAGGATTTAAAAAGGAACAAAGATAGTAATTCAGAGTCTATTCTCACTTCACTGAGCATTCATAATTGCTGTATAATACTGAGAATTATACATGTATATCTGGGGTGAACAGACTCCTCAGACTGTGGGGAAAATGGGTGAAGTTTACATAATAATAATTGTCAAAAGAATAAGAGTGAATTCATGTTGTACCTTTTTTCTTTTCTCTTTTACAGTTTTTGCTCCTAAAAGCTTTGAAAATAATTTACCTTGCACATTTTAGCCCACTTTAAGTGGCCAGGAACAAAAAGTCTCCCCTTCAATAATATGAACTACTTTCAAATAATAGAGGCTCAAAATGTAACCTACAGTATCTTAAAATTGCATAATTTGGTAGGAAATGTTCTTTCTGTTCTAAAGACTTTGTTTTGTTTTTTTACCTGCTATTCTCTCACCAAGACACTTTAAAAATATTTATGAATACTGACTTTTTTTAGCTGCTAATATCTCAAATTTCTTTCAAAACACTTTTTGTTTGACTCTGCATTTTTGTTCTGATGCCATAGAGTCAGACATCCAGCCAGCAAAGGGAGACTAAGAAAAGTACGACACCCTATTTTCATAATTATAATTATATTATTTCACATACAATAATGGTTTTAAATAATTTTAGCCCTCAGTATATCTTTACTTAAACTGCTGCACGAAGAAAATGGAGTGTAAAATACATTCTTGAAAAAGCAAATCCCTACTCCATATAGGTAAGAATATAAACAACCTTTTGGGATTGATCACAACAAAAATGACCATAAGATCTTTGTGCTCTTTATTCTGGCATTAGCTGAATATTTAAATGTTTGTCTTGACTTCTGATTCAAATATACTGTTTCTTACAGGGTAAAAATGTATGCCGTTCAAACAAGATACTTGTCTGAACCACCACCTTTCTTAGCTATCCAGAGAGTCCTGTTTTAATATTTCTTCTGTAACTTGTGCGTTTTGTCTTCTGTAGGAATGTGCTTGGTTGTGCTATACTCTAGGTCTGCAGATGTATTCCACAGAAAATACATGTGTTGCTGTAACTATAGAGTGGTCGTCTTATACCTGAACTCATACATGGCTCAGTTCTGAGATGTCACTAATTGTTCTCCTTGTAACATTCTTTTGTACATGCGTTCATATTTTTACTGTGTTCTCTGCAGAGAGCTTGCAGGCCCCAGCTCTCTGTCACAGCCTAAACCTTTCCCTGGGTCCAAGAACATGTCACTAGCAGCTTCCACTGTTTCATCTGCTATCTCTGCTCAGTCTAGTATATTTGCAAACATCTCTTTTTCTTTTTAGTCAGATTGTTTTCACTCTTCATTATTCACTCCAGTTTGAGGTCCATAACTTCTTAAAAGATTGGCTTGGGAGAGAACATTGAGAAGTGTAAAATTTACTTGATCGAGCAGCCTCTTTGTTTTGATCTTGTCTGAATTAAAACCAAGCTAAAAGAAAACCTTGATCTTTCAAGTAGTAGGTTTAAAGTACATGACTAAAAAATGTTCTCAGAGCTCAGACAGCTAGTTGTATGTCAGATTCAAGTTTGTTTGTTTGTGTGGTGTTTGTCTAATTAAGAGAGGTGGCAACCCCAAACTGTGTTTTACTTGGTGAAAAATTTGGATCATAATGTGACCAGCTGACCCATTTTTAAAGGTTCATCAGACCTGCTTTTATTGTATTTTAAACAATGATTAACTAATGACAGATCGCTAGTGGGAGAAGGGTTAGAAATAGTTATCACTAGAAACAAAGAATACTACCATAATGCTTTCTGCCAGGCTTTCCTAGTTGCTATGGAGCATTTACATTTAATCAAGCTGAACAGTAGAGAAGGCAATGGATTTTAAGATTTATTATTTGAGCACAATTAGATAATGATGATGATGAGAGAGACTGAGTCAGTCCGTAATGTACTTTAGGTAATAATTATCCAAGTGTGCTTTATCTCAGCATAAAACACCTCAGGGCATTGTTTGCAGTGAAAAGAGCACACTGGTTTGAAGGCCAAATCTGGAGAAATTTTATATATACAAATCTGGGGAACATTATAGAAAATATAAGTGACCACACAAGCATATCTCAAACCTTTCAATATGTTGTCATTTCTCTAGCACAGGGGTGGACAAACTTTTTGGCCTGAGTGCCACATCTGGGTATGGAAATTGTATGGCGGGCCCTGAATGAAATTGGGGGTTGGGGTGTAGGAGGGCGTGAGGGCTCCAGCTGGGGGTGCAGGCTCTGGGGTGGGGCTGGGGATGAGGGTTGGGGGTGCAGGAGAGTGCTCCGGGCTGGGACTGAGGGGTTTGGAGGGCGGGAGGGGAATCAGGGCTGGGGCATGTGGTTGGGGTGTGGGAGGGAGTCAGGGGTGCAGATCTGGGAGGCGCTTACCTCAAGCAGCTCCTGGAAGCAGCAGCATGTCCTCCCTCCGGCTCCTAAGTGGAGGCACAGCCAGGCGGCTCTGCCCACTGCCCTGTCCGCAGGCGCAATCCCTGCAGCTCCCATTGGCTGTGAGCCCATTGGCAGGGGTGGCACTTGGGGCACGGGCAGCATGCAGAGCCCCCTGGCTGCCCCTATGCATAGGAGCTGGAGCGGGGACATGCCGCTGCTTCTGGGAGCCACAGCACAAGTGGTACGGGGCAAGCCCGCGACCCTGCTCCCTGGCAGGAGCTTGAGGGCCAGATCAAAACTTCTGAAGGGCCAGATGTGGCCTCCGGGCCGTAGTTTGCCCACCCCTGCTCTAGCAACAATGCAGAATTGAAAGCGCTATGGGATGGAATATCGTTATTGGTTCTGGAATGTAAATATGCACACTAAGCACTCCATCTGATTCTATAATTCCCATATTCAGCAAGCTAAAACAAACTAGGCTAAATTCATTCTTGGTGTAATTCCACTGAGTTCAGTGGAAATACACCAGAGATAAATGTATCTCATTGGGCACTACAATTGACTTCTAATTTTTCTCATTAACTTCTGAAAACAGTGTAAGTCCTAGGTCAAATCTGCAACCATGGCCATTCCAAATAAATAAATGAAAGCAACCAGAGATGTAAGAACTGAAGGATCATGTGGAGAAGTGAAGAACTGATTGATGTGTTAATGTGGTCCATACATTTTCACTTTATGTAAAATTAATGGGGCACTGGATTAATTTAATATGTTATATATATGGTGAAATACAGCAAAATAATTGCTAGGGAAATTCACTGAGAAACCAGATGTTGCCAGGAGTGGAAAATCTTGCCATAATACCTCCAACATCTTGGAAGGGGTCCTCTTATTGACATTGCACCACTTCACTAAATAGTTTTACAAGTATTCAGATAAGTGTGGATTTTTAGCTTTCTGTGTGTATGGCCAAGTTTTTTAAAAGCGACTGGTGATTTTGGATGCTTCCATTACTTTTGGGTGTCCAACTTGAGACATCTTAAAGAGGTCTTATTTTCAAAGGGTGATTTTAACTAGAATTTATTTATTTGAGAATGGGGTCTGGGATCATTGAAATTGATAAAAAAAATTTAATTACCAAAGAAGATCTCTTACTTGCTCAGGGGGGAAAAAATACTACATATAGTTAGGTGTGATGATTGGCACTCAAAAGTTATTCCTTTTGAGGATGTGGTCCTAGCTGACATGTAAACTCATGGGAAATATTTCTCTCTGTTTGTAATTAAACCTTATCCATAGATAGAACAAAATTTGTAAACAGATGCAAGTCCTGGTGCTTACTCTTGCAAGCCAGGGAATTTGCATCAAAATTTTGTTAGTCTGAATTCCAAGCCTTCCAGATTGCTACTATTTAACATGGCTGCAAAAGGGATTTGCATGGGTGATTCCCCTTAGCTCTAATGGGAGTTACGGATGTAAAATCACTTGGACATGGATAAATGAAGAGACTCTTAAATGTGCAAGTCCATTCAGCTTTCCATAATAAGGCAAAGAAAGCAGAAACAGATTAGAATAGTGATTGTATGGAATAATGCTCAGAAGCTGTCTGCAGCAAGTAGCAAATAGTAACTTAGCCCTGGTCTACACTAGGGGGTGGGATCGATCTAAGTTACGCAACTTCAGCTACGTAAATAACGTAGCTGAAGTCGATGTACTTAGATCGACTTACCGTGGTGTCTTCACCACGGTAAGTCGACTGCTGCTGCTCCCCCGTCGACTCTGCCTGTACCTCTCGCGGCGCTGGAGTACAGGCGTCAACGGGAGAGTGCTTGGGGGTCGATTTATTGCGTCTAGA